GGAGGGGGGGAGAGAGGGGAACTGGGCCATGGAGCAGCGGGCCAGTGCTCCAGCCAGCACTCACGCGACCCAATTCTGAATAGGCCATGGCCTACTAGTGGCCCGCGGCCTAGGGTTGACCTGTTCTAAGGGTACCACTTTGGGATTTTTTTTAATTATCTCTCCCCCAGTATACTACAAGTAAATCTCACTTAAAATCCATTCATTCAAGAGATTTACAAGCAATCGTCAAAATTCCGGTCATTACAGTGGCTCCATGGTGACATGAATAAAAGTTGAGCACACTTTGGTCCATTCACAATTTTATTTATTTATTTGTATCCCGCCTTTATTATTTTTACAAATAACTCAAGGCAACGAACATATCCTACACATCTTCCTCCTCTTATTTTCTTCATAACAACAATCCTGTGAGGTGGGTTGGGCTAAGAGAGAGTGGCTAGCCTAAGGTCACCCAGCTGGCTTTCATGGCTAAGATGGGACTTGACCCCCAGCTAGAAGGATGCAGCGGCAAGTAGGGCTGGCAGGGGCAGCTGTCCAGCAGCAGCAGGTGACTAAAAGGACATCGATGGGGGGATAAGCGGAGGGGGGAGTTGAAGAGGAGGCAAAGGAAGCAATCCAGTCCTTTAGCATAAGCTTATCGAACCTCAGCTGGGAGGAACAAAATGGGAATCACTTGGAGTGGGTCCTCGGGTAATGACTGGTAGGGTTTAGTTAATGGCAGCAGTGGGGAGTGACACGATTGCTATTGGTAATTGATGTGATCCTGTGATATCACAGTGCAAGAACTGCATTGTACAATAATGGAGATGCCAGTCCCAACTTCTGTGGTAATTTTGAGGGCTAACTGTACTGTGTTATTCAGAATCGGTTTGGAAAATTACAGTGAAGCCAGATATCTTTTTGCTAATGTAAATTAATTGATTTTTTCTTATGACGTCCATGTATGTATGTATATTAGGCAGATTTTTTCCAGTTTTCTTTAGTTAAGATTCTTGTTAGTAAATGTGATATTAACCAGGGTTGAGAAACAATTGTTCCTAATTAAAAATGTTCCTCTCAAAGATTCTTTAGCTAAGATGATCAGTTACAACTTAATTCAAAGACAAGCATAATTGCTTACTCAACATTTTCTCTCTTTTTTCCAGATCCCATTTGAGATCACTGTACCATCAATAAAGAATTTAAGCAAATTGTTTGATCCAGCGAATGGATGTGTAATAATGGCAGGAAGTGTTTTCAGCTGGATAGTATCTCTGCTTACTTGAATGTTTTTTCAGGAGTAAAACTAACATGTTTGATTTAATGATTTGACAGCTTTTTGAATCAATATCCCATCACTCTGAAACAACTAGAATTCTGTTACTTGAAGCATAGAATTGGTCTATAAAAATTTTTAAATTTATAAAATATTTTAAGTATTAATAATTTAAATATTAAACATATTCAGTTGATTTTTGAAATTTCCGTTGCTCTTGGTTCAGAATATTATTTTTGGTGGTTGATTTTATACCTCTTGGTTCAATGTTTTCAGTGTCATTGTTTTCTTCAAAAATAATGAAAATAAAGCCAGTTAGTCTTTTGATTGCATTCTTAAATGAAAATAATTCCATTTAAACTGTTATAAAATATTTTTTTATTTGCCTTAACTGTTTAAAAGTAATTATTTAGCACAAGATATGAAATTCTTCTAGTAGCAATCACTGAGGTACAGCTTTTCTTTGAAGGTTTTATTTATTTGTATTCCTAAATACCTTTGTATATTGTTAGAACTAGGATGTCAAAATAGTGTAGAAGTGACACCTGTTTAATTTTGTTCATGGATTTTTATTACTTTTGGTAATATTTATTTTGCAAATTAGAAATACAAATGTTCTCTCTATTCTTCTCTCAGTTGCTATAAACAGCGAGATCTTTGCCTTTATATCTGCATCTGCAGACTCCAAGAAGAAAGGAATAAATCCACATTCCTATTAATGCACTTGGCATAGGTGTAAAATAACAAATAATTTAAAACTAACAGCACTACATTAACATCTATATATCAACTTAGTTTTCAAAGATTCAGTAAGAAGCAGAAGTATTTTGCACTACTCTCTCGAGTAAAAAACATAAAAATTCCTTATTCACACTACTCTCAATTAAAAAATGTATAACATTTCCTCATCCTTTCTCTGATTGTTTTTTATGTCAAACAAAAAGCTGGAAAAGAAATATATATTTGGAATGTGTAGCACATTAGATTCCAGAAATGTACTTCAGAACACTATGTGTGCAAATATAGCAACTGACTGTGGTTTTTAAGGTAATTTTTGTCTAGGATTATATGACAATATTACAGGGTAATCATCTGATTGTGGAAAATATACCATTCTTTAAAGAACTGCAAAGATGTTATATTCACGTTTCCAAGCATCAGTTTGGAAGTGAATATGAAACACTGCACAGCCCTAAACAGTGACAGAAGTAAGTTATTGTTTTCTAAGATTCATGACCCAATGAAAACCAGAAAAGATTATATTTTAATTTTAGATTGCAATTTAGTGAATTACATCTGGATAAAATTTGGTTAATCTTGCCTTTGAAAATAGCTGAAAGAAGTCATCTTTCTAAACTGTTTTGAATCTTTTTTCAATAAACCATACTTGTTTCACTTAATGATTATTCTAGCCTCAATGGTTTCTTCTAGAGACTAAATATGAGTATTAGTCACCAATAAATAATCTGTTCAAGCAAAGAGATGATGCTGGCAGAAAAACCTCTTATTTATGCACATACATCCATATTCTTCTGAAATGTACTATATTTTTACTAATACTATGAATATAAGAATATATAAAAACACCATGCAATAAATACAAATTATGACATTCTGCAAGGTGCTAGACTAGAGAGAAGCCCCCTTCCCCATTTTGCCTTCAATAGAAGTTTATTTAGATTGCTCTCTTTCCTGTTCTGTTGCCTTAGTTATATTGGATCACATCTTCTACCAACCAACATCAGCATGTAGGCTAGGGTTAGGTTGCCCTAATAGTACAAAACAAAAACTGGAGCAAAACTTCAAAAATATCAAAGCATTCTTCTCTCTTTGAATAACTGCCCACAAACAACAAGCCTTTCCAAAAAACATTTTTTGCTGCCAGCATCTGCTATTTTGGAGGCTTGATATTGAAGCCCCAGTATTTCAGTAACAAATTGAGCCTAATTTGTCATATAGAATTCAAGGGAGGGAGTAGGGAGAAACATATTGCCATCTGTCTAGGCACAGCAAGTCTATGTTCAGCCTCAGGAGAATCTACATCATTAAAGAAGTTCTGTCAGTATCTCTTCAGTAATGTGAAACAATGCAATTTTTATTTAAAACATTTTATATGGTCATCTAACTTAAACCAAACTGCGTGGTTCGCAGTCCCCAAATAAAAATGACATATGTCAACAATGAAATAAAAGAGACCTGGCACCACAGTTAAATTTTCCCATGCAGCCTACAGGTTTGTCCCATGATAATTTCACCATACCCAACAATTGAAGGAATAGTCAGGTCTTAAGTGTTTTTAGGATGGTTAAAGGAGTAGGGGACTTCTCGAGGGATACAACATAGGGGAAAATGTAAAATGGCAGCATTTAAGGGAAGGGATGACGAGCATACCTATTCTATGCAGTGTGGTGAGTTGAGCATATGTCCTCAAGGAAAGGCGGTCCTGCAAATAACTGGTTTCATGCTATGAAGGGTTTTAAAGTTAATAACCACCCCCTTAAATTGCATCTGGAATGAAAGTAGAAGCCAGTGCAGCTTGTGCTGTTATGGGTGTAACGGGATGCCGACCACTGCCTGCTGCTACAATTTGGACCAGTGATGGCTTCTGAGTGATCCTCAAGGTCAGCTTCATGTAGAGTATATTGCCAGTAACCCAAGCAGGAAGTAACCAAGGCATGGATGACCTTGAGCAGGGGTAGGCAACCTTGGCTCTTTTATGACTCGTGGACTTCAACTCCCAGAATTCCTGAGCCATTCTGGGAGTTGAAGTCCACGAGTCATAAAAGAGCCAAGGTTGCCTACCCCTGACCTTGAGGAAGGCTTCCAGCTCTAGGAAAGGGTCCAATTGGCACACAAAGGGAATCGCTGCAAAGAACCCCCCTAGCTATAACTGCCACCTGCTTTTTGAGTAAGAGCTACTAGTCTATGAAGAGATCCAAAATGTGCACTAGCCAAGTATGGGAAAGCGCAATCCCATCCAGAGTCAAAGGTGACCAGGGCCTGAAGAGCCAAAACAAACAAACAAACAAACAAACAAACAAACAAACAAACGTCACCAGAGCCAATATCTAGCTCCTTAAAAATTACAACGCATCATATTTTGTGAATGAGGGTTCAGTAGCTGTATACTGTATACAGCGTTGCCCTCTGTTGCCAATAGTAGATCAAACGGAAAGAGAGGAGAAAAAACGACAATGAAAACCTGCTGGAAGCTACGTATGTATGCCCAGACTTATCACAATGATTCGCGCATCTGATGAAAGGAACTCTAGTTCCTCGAACGTTGATGCTACGATCCGTTAGTTTTTACGATGCCCCCGAATTCTTCGTCTCCTCTCCACCCGGGTGTAGGATCACAGCAAGCGTTTGCAAAATAGGAGACACACGAACCCCGTGCCATAAAAAAAAAATTCTAGCAAGACCCTTTACTCGCTCGCCCCATTTAGCAACACCCGCAATTAGCAAAAAAAACATCGCCACGGGGCGACAACTTTTCGGTACAGGATCAGCCTCGCTTCCTCCCCCCTCCCTTCGTTTCCAGTTACGGAAAACGAGCGCACGTCGGCAATTTTGCTCTTTCTCGGCTGCCGTAAAAGGCTGGGTAGCGGGCTCTCGCGGTGGCTGTTGGGACGGTCTGCTAAGTTGTAAGAAGCGGGGAAAGTCCGCTGCGAGCGCTTTGGTTCTGGCGGGGCGAGCGTGCTGGTTGTCTTGGCTTGTGAAAGGACAACGCTGGATGGTGGGGAGACAAAAAATGATCCGGACGGGCTAAAAGACTGTTACCCGGGGTGTCCCGGAGAAGTGGGAAGGTGAGAAAGAAGCGAGATCTCTTGTCGTTTGAATCGGAATGGGTTGGGAGCCCGGCCCGCCCTCTACTTCGCCCTGGAGCTGGCCGTGCTCTCCGGCAGCTGCCTGTCCTCTGGTCCCTCCTTCGATTTTGGCTCTGGCTCTTCGCGGTTCCTGTAGTGACGGGCGGACCCTGACCGGGCAGGATTGGCCCTTTAGGTTCCCCGAATGGGAGGGAGCTTTAGGTGTGAAATACCGGTAGTAACCCTGCGCCTCCCCCGCTGGAAACTATTTCAGCGAAAGTATCCTTCACTCTTTTCTCCGAAGCGCCCCAGATAAAGCACCGAAGCGCTTCTTTCTGCGCAATTATGTGTGTGTCTAAAAGCAGGGGTACCTTGGCTCTTTTATGACTCGTGGACTTCAATTCCCAGAATTCCTGAGCCAGCTTAG